AGATGGCCCAAGAGGGCCCCAAGAGAGCCCCAAAAGAGCCCCAAGACGGCCCCAAGAGCGCCCAAGAGCACTCCAAGAGCGTTCCAAGAGGGGTCCAAGAGGCGATTTTAGGGGCTTCCGAGGGGGGGCGCTAATTAAACCCCCCCTCTTGTTTGATCGACTCCCTCCAAGATGGCCCCAAAAGCGCCCCGAAGGCTCCCCAGAGCGCCTCAAGAGGGTCCCAAGAGGCGCCCAAGATGCCCCAAGGCGCCCAAAAAGCCCTCCAAGAGGCCCTCAAAAGACCCCCAAGAAGCTCCTTCCCCTCCTCCTCCTCCTCCTCCGATTCTTCCTCCTTCTCCGTCCTCCTCCTCCTCCTCCTCCTCCTCCTCTTCCCCCTCCTCCTCCTCCTCCTCCTCCGACGACGACGACGACGACGACGACTCCTCTTCCATCCTCCCCCTCTCGGGGTCTGTGACAGCTTCCCCCGCCCTTTGTTATTCTGCATGCTCCCCGACTTCCCTGATCACCTCAACTCCCCTGAGCATCGTTTCTGGATGGGCTGGTGGGGATACGCGAAGCGTCAACAATTTCTCGGGGCCGTTGGCCGCATTTGGGACTGCTAATGGGGGACACCCATTGCTTGGGGAGACCCCAATTCGCAGCCTGTTTATGGGGGATGCTGGCGAGGTCCCACCATGGCTAGCAGCCCCACATCGAAAGCAAGCTTGGGCTACCAGCCCTGGGACGGGGGAGGAGGAAGAGGGGAGGAGGAGGAGGAAAAAGAAAGGGAGGAGGAGGAAAATGAAGAGAAAAAGGAGAACCAGTGTCAACCCACGACGCAGCAACGATGCTACAACAAATCCTCCTTCCATGTTTTGTCCATCGGGCCCTGCAACTATGCACGTCGACGTGGAATGGAAGGCAACCGTCTGAAAATCCTCCATCGCGCCGAGACGCAACTCCTACGATATCAACGTTGTAAATCAACGTGTTCGTTGCGTTCCGACAACCCTGAATCGTGCCAAAATTCCATCCACGGTGTTTCATTACAGCGAGTCAACGTGTGTGTGTGTGTGTCGCGTCTGGAAAAAACACTATTCCAACCCAGAAACAATTCATGGACCTTCGACCATGCGAATACTTGAAACGTGTGGAAACTTTCGGAGCGACTGTGCGCGGCGCAAAGGAGGGAACCACATTTTGAAACATATGCACATCCTTTAGATTGTTGCGAAGTGTCCAAACGAATGCACGCGGCGCTAAGACGAGAGCCACATGTTTCTAAACAAAAGCGGCCTTCATCCTTGAAACGGTTGCCAGCTTTCAAAACGAATGTGCACGGCGCTGGGGCGAGAACCAAGTTCTGAAAGCCACCCGCCCTCCATCCGTGAATATGTAGCAAACTTTTAAGACGGATGTGTGCGGCGCTAACGCGAGAAACACACGTTTAAAACCACCGGGCCTTCATCCTGAAAGCTGCCTCTAATCTGAAGCTGGATCATGAGCGGTGAAAGCGTCCAAGTCGAAACACCCAGCCCGCCCGTCCGATACGTCTTCGGGCGCGGCAGGGAAGTGGTGCTCACGCACAAACAATGGATGACGAGCAGGAGGAAGAGCAGCCATAGGTAGCAAGGAGGAGCCGCAGCAACAACTATAATTGCGGGGTTTGAAGGCTGCGCGAGAGAAAGAATCGCGGCGATAAGATGTTGGCTGTAGCGTTTAAATTCTCCGCGCGCGACGCAGGCACGCGCCGGCGGTGATGGCGACGTACGAAAAACGCTAGCGATGTGTTTCGGCACGTGTTCCACGACATTACCCACGAGCGAGAGTATACTCGTGAGATTGTTGAATTCGGCCTCGTGGCTGGGGATTGGTTGCCGCAGGACTGGAGCAGCGCCGTGACTTGCCTGGCTCCGATGACGATGGGTCGGAGGAGCAGCCAACTGTAGCTTTCCAAGGACATCGCAACTCCAACTGTGTGCGTAGCTCCAAATCGTGGCGTCAGAAACTGCGATAGCAGCGCGTCGGTGGTTTCGTTGCGGCGCCTCGAGAACTCGAGGACTGCGCGGGTAGCCTGGTGGCTCGCCCAGTGGACCGAACTGCGCGGCGAGGCTCGCGACGGGGTAGGTCACGGCGTCCTCTGCTGGCCGTTTACCAAGCATCCCTCGGCCGTCTCCGCGAAGATCATGGAGCGCCTCAACTCGCGAGCGGCCCCGCCGAGGTTGAGTTCGTCCTACTATTCGCGGCCATGTTGCGCTTCAGGCGGGGGGCGAGGGGGGCGTCGCGCAACGCCCGCCCGCCCCCCAAGGCCGCGCTGCTCCGGCACCGCGGCACCCGCGCGCATCACAGCCAACACAACAGTGCGCAGCGCAATGTGCACCGCCGCAGCCACGTGCACCGCGTCGCCCATGTCCTGCGCAACGCATGCGTGAATCACCGAGCAGCGCCACAGTGTCTGTATCTGCCACACTCTCCTCCGAGCATTTGTTTGTGCCGGCGTTTGCTGCTGCTGTGTTGCACGCGCGGTGCACGGTTAGTGGTGCTACAACGCTCTGTGTCGAAGTGAGACGTTACTCTCCCTCGCAAGCGCGCGAAATGCCAAAGGGCCCCCCTCCCCCCCGACGCGGTCAGAGGCCCCTGTGGGAGCCAAAACGGCGGCGGGGGAGAGGCAGGAGAGCACGCCAGTGCCTAGCATCAACGGTGGCTCTCACCTTTTCTGTTTCTCTGCCTCTAACCCCGTCCGCCCACGCTCAGATCTCTGTGGCCGCGGCGCTGCGTGGCGGTTCCTACATGCACAGAACAACAAGGTCTGTGAAACGCATGGGTTCGCGAGGCTTCTGCTCGCGCGACCAAGACGCCGGCCGCTTACGTGGATTCGCGAGGCTATTGCTCGCGCGACTGGGCCGCCAGCCGCCAGTTGGGCGTGCACTCTCGGGCCCGCCAGTCAGCTGGGCGGCCAGCTCCGCTGGCGCATCCTCTGTCTCCTCCGCCTCGGTCTTCCACTGGGTTCCGACGTCGCGGAGGCGCCGCTCGACCGCGCTTTCTGTTTGCTTCGCATCGTTTTCCCACTGCGTGGCGGCGTCGCGGACATTTCGCGCGACCGCGCCCGCGAACGGTTGGGGGCTGTCATTCTGTGCCCGCGCTGCATCGCCATCGTGCTGGATGGCGCCATTGCGGGAACTCCGTTCCTCGGCGCGCCGCGCCGTCGCCCTGGCTGCCTCCGCCAAGGCGTCTATGTCACGCTCCGCGGGGAGCCCCGCGCCTGCGGACGGACGCGGCTGTAAGTCTCGCTGCCACCCAAGGTGCGGCCGCTCACTGGCGCTCTGCACTGTGAAACGTCACCGACGCTCTGCACGGCACCGCCGCGCGTCTGCCGCCCTCACTTCCAGGCGCAACTCACGCAAGGTGCGGCCTTTCACTGGCGCCCCGCACTGTGAAGCACCACCGACGCTCTGCACGGCACCGCCGTGTGTCTGCTGCCCTGACTCCCAGGCACAATTCACGCATGGTGCGGTCGCTCACTGGCGCTCTGCACTCTGAAGCGTCACCGACGCTTCGCACGGCACCGCCGTGTCTGCTGCCCTGACTTCCAGGCGCAGCCGCGTCACCGACGCGCAATTGCTAAATCACCGACGTTGCGCGCAGCACCGCTGTGGGCTTGCTGCCCTGACTTCCGGGCGCAGTAGTCCGTATACCTGTGGACCGAACAAGCTTCACTGAAGTTCCGCTACCAATGTTGAAGTAAAGGTAATTTCCCTTCGCGTGAACGGAAAAGGCCAAAAAGACCCCCTCCCGACGCGGTCAAAAGGCCCCTGCAAGAGCCAAAACGGCGGCGGGGGAGAGGCCAGAGAGCATGCCAGTGCCTAGCATCAACACTCTGCTTCCGCCGCCTCCAGAACCGAAGCATAAGACGACAATTGCCTCAAACCTGTACCACACTGATTGTTTCCGATGCGTGCTGCGCGCGTGCACCACAGTGCCCACGTGCACCACAGCGCCTGCGTGCACCACAGCAGCCGCGGTCACCGCAGCGCCTGCGCACACCGCCACGCACGGGTGCACCACAGCGCTAGCGGACACCACAACCCCTGCGTTGATTACGCGTAGGTCATGATTTATCAAAAGCCCGCGCGGATTTCTTGGATCTGCGCTGAAGCACCCCCCATGCCGCGCGGGGCGCGCCAAATTACAAAAACACCACGCTCCCCCCTCCAATTCCTTTGTCCTCTTCTTCCTCCTCCTGCTATTCGTTTAATTGCTGCGACTGTTGCCGCACAGTACTTCTGGCATAAATGCCAATGCCAAAGGTCCCGTGGCCCTGCCACCACCAGAGTATCGAATGAACCCCGCGCGCGTGCGCAAAAACTGCGGGACCCTGCGTGTGCGACAATAGCCTGCGAACGCACCAGCATGTTTGCGAACACGGACAATGTGCCCGTCAACGCCACGCTCGGCCAGCGAGTGTTCAACGAGCCCGCAACCACCACAGCATCCTGCGAAAATCAGGATGGCAGTGCCAGAAGCACGCTACGGGGGGGGGAGCGTCATGGCGAGGGAAGATATGCGGGGATAGCGCGCGTATGGCCCAAACTATGTTGTTCACACATATATATATATATATATACATGTGCATATATGTATATATATATATATATATATATACACTAGAACCACGCGCGCGCTTCGCGCGCGCTTAGATTCTAGCGCAGTGCAAGCCAACCTCACAGGATCGGATGAGGATGGGCATCGCCCCGCAAGGTTCACCATATGGGAGCGTACTTCCTGATGAACGCTTTAGGAGTCGCTGAATAAGGCTCCAAGAAGTCGCGCAAAGCAGCAACGAGGAGGATCTAGGGCATCCTAAGGGGGCATGCCCGAGAGTCCCTAGAAGCCTGGCGAAAACATGCAGGGAGTCTCTTCGGACGCCTTTTGGGGACGCTTTTGAAGGGCTATTGAGGGTCTCTGGGGGGTGAGTCCTCTCCGGCTTGTGTTGGGGTCTCCTGGTGACCTCTTGGGACTTTTTGTTTTTTCAATTAGACTGGGCGACGAATCACTGGAGAATTCCGCGATGCGCGTGCAGAACGCAACGCTGATGGGCCCAAGGTAGAGGCGGTGGTTCCAACCACACAAGCCCGCTCCTGACCGCTACTGCTGCGATGCAGAGCACACCACGCACATGGCCCGGTTCAGAAAATGTGAAAACGTCAACCATCTGCAATTCAAACACTGGTTCATGAGCAAGGTTATGGCACCTCTGAAGTTGCCAAAAAAACAGCCAAGACGCTAGCCGAAGGGAGCTTGTACTCATGCGCGAATGCCTCCCGCGCGACCTCCAGAAGCTTGTGCTCATCCAAACGCTTGTGCTTCGCCCTCCACCATCTCCTCCACCTCCTTCTCTAGTAATTTGATCCCGATCCAATCCGACAACACTTGCACGCCCCCCTCCCACAGTAAGTTTGCAAGCTGAGGGGGACAATGGCCATGGCTTCGAAGCCTGCGCTGAAGTAAAGTGCGATGCTGGACTTGGATTGGAACCACCCAGATTGGGCGGCTATCGGCCAGCTATGGCATGCCATGCTATGTTATAGTATGATATGTCTATGTATATAGATAACGGTGATATATATATACATATATACACAAAACAAAACAAACACCCTCGCTGAGGACGACAACGGCGCATTGTGGGCGTACGTGTGCCCGCCAGTGGAGTTGGTGTGGGCCCTGCAAAACGAGGGGGAGGAGAACGAGGGAGAGTGGGAGGAAGGGAGGGGGAGGGACGAAGGAAGAGGAAACACGCCAGGAAGAAAGGAGCGAAGAGGGGGGCGGTCTATTAGAGGCAGAGAAAGAGAGATAACAACAAAAACATATAAGACAGGTACATAGAGAGAGAGAGAGAGAACAGAGGGTATAGAGAGAGAGAGAGAGAGAGAGAAAAAGAGAAAAAGAAAGAGGGAGGGAGGAGGCAGGACAGGGGAGGGAAAAGGGAGGAGGGAGAGAAGGGAGAGGGGAGAGGGCAGAGAGGCATGAGGATGAGGGAAGACAGGAAGGAGAGAGACGGGAGGAGAGGAGGGAGGAGGGAGAGGGAGGAGCAGGAAGGTAAGAGCGTGAACGTTCGAGGAAGTCCTAGGCGAAAGCGCCGCTCCTGAAGGAAGTCTCGGGCGGGAGCCCACGACAGGCGGGCGATCCCCTGACGGGCGGGTCGGCCGGGTGGGACATTCAAGCGGGATGCCTGGGTATGGCGACAGCGCGATTCCTAAGTAAATTGACGGCGTCCTTGGCGCAGCGTGTTTCCTGAGCGTCGAAAGCGCGAGGTCTGAATACATTGCATGGAAATCACAAGCGACAGCGCAACTCCTGAATAAGATGTGAGGGGTTCTCTGGCGGGAGCGGGGGTCTTGATTAAATTTCGAAGGAGTGTCGACTCAATTACGGAGAAGCCTCAAGCGGGAGCGCCCTTCCTGAGTAAATTGTGTCGAAATCTCAGATGGGAGCGGGGGTCCTGACTAAATTGCGAGGGAACCACAAGCGGGCGCACCGGTCCTGAGTAAATTGTGAGGAAATCTAAGACGGGAGCGGGGGTCCTGAAGAAATTTGCAGGAAGTCTCATGCGGGAGCCGTTGTTGTTGCAATTCGGAGGGCCAGGGGCGCAGTTTGAGCACGAAGACTTTCCCTGTCAAAGAAACAGGGTGCGAGCGTCGAGGGGCACGCTTTGATGGAGAAAAACACCATGCACAGGTGAGGGGGGGCCAACAATACTTATTCTTCAGAAATGAGAGTTCAACAACAACAACAACAACAACAACAACAACAACAACAACAACAACAACAATCATTTTAAGACTGTTCGCCCTTATCTGCTCGAGTGTCCAATAACGCGTATTTCCAAAACCCTCGATACCCGCCCTTTTCGTCTTCGATCGAACCTCTTTTCGGGGGTAGACCTCTCTTCCCTGCAGGCTGGGCCCAGCAAGCGGCGGGGCGGCCGCGGACCGTCGGCCTGGCCAGCGGCAGCGCTGATCGGCGGGGCGGCCGCGGACCGTCGACCCGACCCCAAAGAGGGACGGACACGGGACCGACCACGACGACGACGACGTCGACGACGTCGACGACGGCGAGCGAAAGCGAGAGAGAACGACAGCATGGCCACGAAGGACACGAAGTAGGCCACGAAGGGCAACAGCGGGGACACGAAGGGAATGCGTATGGGGCCACGAAGAGCGCGAACGAGCGGGGGCCACGAAGGGCAGAGAATGCGGGGCACGTAGGACAGTGAGGGGGCCACAAACGGCGACAGCGGGGCCACGAAGGGCATGCACATGGCGCCACAACGGGCGCGACTCCTGGGTGCCTGGATGTCGGGAGCGCGGCGCTTGAGCAAATTGCAAGACATTCCCACGCAAGGGCGGTATTCTTCAGTAAATTCCAAGCAAGTCTCCAGCGAGAGTGCGACGCCAGAACGCAGGGAGAGCGATTCCTGGATAAATTGTATGGAAATCCCAAGCGAGAGCGCGATTCCTAAATAAAATGCGAGGACGTCTCGGGCGGGAGCGAGGGTCCTGGCTAATTTGCAAAGAAATCTAAGGCGGGAACCGTTGTTGTTGTAATCCGGGGGCCTGGGGCATAGTTTGAGCATCAATATTTTCCCTGACAACAAAAACAGAGGGTGGTCAAGAGACAAAAACAATTGTATGACGACAAGATCTGTTGTGGGTCTATGACACCGAGAAGGATGTGTCCTTGAGCTCCACGCAACCGCTCACTGGGTTCGTCGACTCCATCAGAGCAGGGAAGTTCCACATGTGGCTCGGACAAACAAAACCATCCATAGTCCACTTGGCACTTACCCACAAAAAGTTCCAGACAAACGCTAAACATGCTGGCACCATTAAAACAGACCAAGCTATTAGCCTCCGTTTGGAGGTAGTGATTTGACTCAACATTGACTGCAACTGCCCTTTCCCGTGATCGGGGTCGAGCACTTCTCCATAGCGCCGGAGAATATCAAATACAGTACACAAGTACCTGGTGATGTCGACAACCTTGACAAGAACTAAGAACATTGACACGAGAGCCGAAGCAATTCCGAGCCAGAGGGCCTGCTGGGCGTGTGGACATTGCTTCGTACCCGAACAGAGTGCGTTGGTATAGGTGACCTGGAAGTGGAGATGAACACCACAGAAGCAGACGCCATAAATGAATATACGTGAGAAGGCACACCGCGTGACATTGACAGCATTGTTAAGGAGCGTTCGCACTTCCTGGATGAGTGCACCTGTCATCTCTTCTGTGGGGGCATCATCATGCACCTTCTTGAAGTCCTCGTACTCGGCAAGTAAGCCATTCGCCTTCCCCGAATCCTTTAGCTCCAACTTGTGCATTTCCAACATGATAGACATGCTGCAGCACTCTGCGATTCCGTCCAATACTGTGGACGAGGTTGCCTCTGCACCTGTCAAGGTGGTGTATGCGAACCTGTTACTTGTCCACTTTATGATGAATGGGAAGCCTTCCTCGGATGGCTCGTAGTGGCGCCCTCCTCTGCACAGGTACAGAGGTCCGCCTGCAGGGCCTGAGAGCGAGGCTTTACCGGCCGGGCGATGCACCTCAACTAGTCCGCCCTTGAAACTACCTCTCCAAGAGTCCCACTCGAGTGGGCCTGTGATGGTTCTCTCGAGGTTCTCCATTCCCTTGATCTCCAACTCGAAGCGCCTCCCCCAAGCCATCCACTTCTGGCGATCACATGTCGGATCCACTTGCCACCGCTTGTGGTCTGTCGTCTTCCACCCGCAGCGGGGCCAGTAACTTATCACGCCGAAAGCGTAGTGGAGGATCTGTGCGATGAACATGATAAGGAGTATGGCCGAAAGCGGGAAGTAATCACGTATGAAACGCGATTGGCGCAACGTCTCCTTCCAGACTGAATCCACCACGGCCGACCTGTCCTGATGAAAGTAGCCGTAGATAAATACCCCCAAAAATGCGTTCGCCTGAAGCCGGCTGTACAAAGTCACGGTGCCTAGCCCAAAGAGCCAAATAAACCAGACATGGAAATACAACGTGTCCTGGAATTTGTTCCACGTGGACCAAGAGGAGCAACAATGACGCAACAAGCCATGGAGCATCTGGACGGGCATGCACGGCCATCCAATGTGGCCATTATTCTTGGACAGATCACGCGCCTTGTCGCTGTACCATATGCTCGAATACTTTGCGATGTGAACCTCGAGGCACATCAAGGCAAAGCAAGTGCCAGCAGCCAGCGCAAGCCACAATTTTGGGTAGGCCAGGTCAAGGATGCCCCGTGTCTGGCTCTGTCTCCCTATCAGGAGGCCCAGCCCCATGAACGAGAACATCACGAGGGCATGCATGACTGGACACCAGAGTGCCAGATCCATGACAGGGCCAACGCAGTGTGCACGCGTGGCCTTCTAAAACGACGCTAAGATCGGGACAACATCGGATCGGGATAACTCGAAATCTCTGAGAATCGGCGGGTTTGGAGGATGTATTGGGCGCCGCGGCCGCTCCAGAGCGTTCCGGAACGCTCTGAAAGCGCTCCGGAACGCTCTGGAGCGATTTATCACGATCCTAGCCCTGTTTTACCTTCTTCTTTTCCTTCTTCAGCTCCAAGACTTTATCGACGAAGAACGGATAGCACCCGAGCAAGTACGGCCCAGACTCCTGCCGCCCGCGCTCCTGAGGTTCGTAAGCGCGGTCCTGAGGCTGGGTGGTCGAAGCCCATTTGGCGCCAACCTGGCAGGCCCAATCTGGCAAACGGGGGCAATCTGGCGAGAGAGCCAGCGCGAATCCAGTCTGGCGAAGAACCCAAATCATCCAGTTTGGCCAGGCCAGACTGGCCCGTGGGGCCAATCCAACCTGACAGTCTGGCCTTCGACTGCCCAGTGAGGCCCGTCCTCGAGGGGCCCTGCCGCCGCCCCAGCCGGGTCCAAGAGAAGCGCGCCGGCCTCATCAGCGCCGCTTCCTGCCATCCCGACGGGCGCGCAGCAGGCCTGTGCAGCCACAGCAAGTATTTGTGCGACAGCTTGGCAGCCGCGGCGCCTAGCCCAGTCCCCGCCAGCGGGCACGCGTGCTTGAGCCAAAAGCAGAGGGTGCGAGCGTCGAGGGGCACACTTGGATTGGGAAAACATCGTATGCACCGGTGGGGGGGGGGATTGACAATAATTATTCTTCAGAAATGAAACTGCAATCATTATAAAACTGTTCGCTCTTTCTTGCCCGTGTGTCATTCAAAACGAGTTCCCCACACCCTCGAAACCCTCCCTCTTTGTCTTCGATCACACCCCATTTGGGGGGATGTTTTCTCTTTGCGGGGGGCGGCGGGCTTAGACAAGCGGGCAAACCTGAACGGGCGGACAATCCTTCGTGGGCGTACATGTGCCCGCCATTGGAATTGGTGTGGGCCCTGCCAAACAGAGGGGGGAGAACGAGGGATAGCGGTAGGAAAGGAGGGGGGGACGAAGGAAGAGGGACAACGCCAGGAGAGAAGAGCGAAGAGGGGGGCGGTTGATTAGAGGCAGAGGAAGAGAGAGAGAGAGAGGGAGAGAAACAAAAACATATAATAGAGGTAAAGAAAGAGAGAGAGAGAGAGAGAGAGAGAGAGAGAGAAGGGAGAGAGGTAAAGAGAGAGAGAGAGAGAAGCAACAAAAAAATAGCGAGGGAGGTGGCAGGAGAGGGGAGGGAAAAGGGAGGAGGGAGAGGAGGGAGGGGGGATTGGGCAGAGAGGCAGAAGGATGAGGGAAGACAGGAAGGAGAGAAAAGGGAGGAGAGGGGGGAGGAGGGAGGAGGGAGAGGGAGGAGGGGCAGGAACGTAAGAGCGTGAACATTCTGGGAAGGACTAGGCGAAAACGCCGCTCCTGAAGGAAATCTCGGGCGGGAACCCACGACGGGCGGGCGATCCCCTGACGGGCGGGCCGGGCGGGTGGGACATTCAAGCGGGATCCCTGAGTATGGAGAGAGCGCGATTCCTAAGTAAATTGTGACGGCGTCCTTGGCGCAGTGTGTTTCGTGAGCGTCGAAAACGCGAGGTCTGAATACATTGCATGGGAGTCACAAGCGAAAGCGCAGTTCCTGAATAAACTGCGAAGGAATCTTGACTCAATTGCAAGGAAGCCTCAAGCGGGAACGCCGTTCCTGAGTAAATTGTGCGGAAGTCTCAGATGGGAGCGAGGGTCCTTACTAAATTGCGAGGAAGTCACAGGCGGGAGCACCGATCCTGAGTAAATTGTAAGGAAGTCTCAGGAGCGGGGGTCCTGAGTAAATTTGGAGGAAGTCTCAGGCGGAGCCATTGTTGTTGTAATCTGCGGGCAAGGGCGCAGTCTCAACACCAACATTTTCCCTGTCAGAAAACAAGGTGCGAGCGTCGATGGGGCACACTTTGATTGAGAAAAACAGCATGCACCCGTGAGGGGGATCAACAATACTTTTTCTTCAGAAGTGAAGGTTCAACAGTAGCAACACTCATTCCAAGACTGATCGCTCTTACTTGCCCGCTTGTCATTCAAAAAAAAGTCCCCACACCCTCAATACCCTTCGTGGGCGTACATGTGCCCGCCATTGGAATTGGTGTGGGCCCTGCAAAAAAAAGGATGGGGAGAATGAGGGAGAGTGGGAGAAAGGGAGGGGGAGGGACGAAGGAAGAGGGAAAACGCCAGGAGAGAAGGAGCGGAGAGAGGGGGGCGGATGATTAGAGGCAGAGAAAGCGAAAGAGAGACAGAAAGAGAGAGAGAGAGAAAGACATATAAGAGAGGAGGAGGAATAGAGAGAGAGAGAGGGGAGAGAGAGAGAGAGAGAGAAAGAGAGAGAAGTAAAGAAAGAAAGAGGGAGGGAGGAGGCAGGAGAGAGGAGGGAGAAGGGAGGAGGGAAAGGAGGGAGAGGGGATAGGGCAGAGAGGCACAAGGATGGGGGAAGATAGGAGGAAGAGAGAAGGGAGGAGAGGAGGGAGGAGGGAGAGGGAGGAGGAGCAGGAAGGTAAGAGCGTGAACGTTCGAGGAAGGCCTAGGCGAAAGCGCCGTTCCTGAAGGAAGTCTCGGGCGGGCGATCCCCTGACGGGCGGGTCGGGCGGGTGGGACATTCAAGCGGGATCCCTGAGTATGGCGAGAGCGCGATTCCTGAGTAAATTGTGACGGCGTCCTTGGCGCAGCGTGTTCCCTGAGCGTCGAAAGCGCGATTTCTGAACAAATTGCATGGAAGTCACAAGCGAGAGCGCAGTTCCTGAATAAAATGTTCACTGGAGGGAGCGGGGGTCTTAAATTGCGAGGAAGTCTGAAGCGGGAGTGTCGTTCCTGAGTAAATTGTGAGCAAGTGAGGGGTTGTTTGGCGGGAGCGGGGGTCTTGATTACATTGCGAAGAAGTCTTGACTCAATTGCGAAGAAGTCTCCAACGGGAGCGCCATCCCTAAGTAAATTGTGAGGAAGTCTCAGATGGGAGCGGGGGTCCGGACTAAATTGCAGGATATTCACATGCGGGAGCACCGATCCTGAATAAATTTTGAAGAAATCTCACGCGGGAGCCGTTGTTGGTGTAATCTGGGGGGCCAGGGGCACTCTTTGAGCAGGAAGACGTTCCCTGAGAAAAAAATGGTGCGAGCGTCGAGGGCACACTTTGATTGAGAAAGAGCCGCACGCACTGGTGAGGGGGATCGACAATAATTCGCCGGCCCAACGGGCCAGAGGCGTGCTAAGATCTCCGGCAACTGCTAAATAATACTTCTACTTCGCGCGCGCGGGGCGGCCCCTGGGGGTCCCCGGACGAAAAGTACCCCGGGCGATCCCCGACAGACTCGGGTCAGAGATGGTTTTCCTCCTGGGCGCCGCCCCCGTGGCCCTCCAGAGAGCCCCAAGAAGGGCCACGAGGCCGCCAAGAGCCCTCCAAGATGGTTCAAGAGTGCTCCGAGATGCCACACGATCGTTCCAAGACGCCCAAGATGGCCCCCTGACGCCCCAAGAGGCCTCCAAGAGCACTCCCCAGAGGGCCCCAAGAGGCAGAATCCATTACTTTTCCTTAGGTGTTGGGCAGATTTTGGCGTGTCCATCTTTCCGGCTTCCCGACGCCCCAAAACGGCCCAAGAGGCCCCCAAGATCGCCCCAAGAGGGCCCAAGAAGCTCCCAAGAAGGCCCCAAGATGGCCCAAGAGGGCTCCAAGACGGCCCCAGAGGCATCCAAAACGGCCCAAGAGGGGCCCAAGAGGGCCCCAAGCGATGCCCCAAAGGGGGAACACAAAACAAAACTTCGAGCCCTCGGCCTTAAGAAGCCCCCAGGAAGCCTCAAGAGGCCCCTGAGAGGCCCCAAAAGCCCCCAAGAGGCCCTCGGGAGGCCCCCAAGCGACGCTGAAGAGGCCCCCCAGCGGCCCCAAGAGGTTCAGTCATGCGAAATGGGCCGGCGGAGTGAGCGACGCGATTCAATTATTTTGCAGGAGTGAAAGCTCAACAGCAACACCAACAACAATCATTCTACGACTGATCCTTCTTACTTGCCCGTGTGTCATTCAAAACGAGTTCCCCACACCCTCGATACCCGCCCTTTTTGTTTTCGATCACACTCCTTTGGACGGATGTTTTCTCTTTACGGGGGGCGGCGGGCTTAGACAGGCGGGCAAACCTGAACGGGCGGACAGTCCTTCGTGGGTTTACATGTGCCCGCCATTGGAATTGGTGTGGGTCCTGCAAAAAGGAGGGGGGAACGAGGGAAAGCGGGAGGAAGGGAGGGGGAGGGACGAGGGAAAAGGGAAAACGCCAGGAGAGAAGGAGCGAAGAGGAGGGCGGTTGATTAGAGGCAGAGAAAGAGGAATAGAGAGAGAGAGGGAGAGACAGAGAGAGAGACAAAAAACGGATAAGAGAGGTAGAGAAAGAGAAAGACAGAGAGAGAGAGAGACAGAGAGGATAAAGAGAGAAAGAGGGAGGGAGGAGGCAGGAGAGGGGAGGGAGAAGGGAGGAGGGAGAGGAGGGAGAGTGGATAGGGCAGAGAGGCATGAGGATGAGGGAAGGCAGGAGGAAGAGAGAAGGGAGGAGAGGAGGGAGGAGGGAGGAGAGAAAGGGAGGAAGAGCAGGAAGGTCAAAGCGTGAACGTTCTGGGAAGTCCTATGCGAAAACGCAATTCCTGAAGGAAATCCCGAGCGGGAACCCACGCCCGGCGGGCGATCCCCTGACGGGCGGGTCGGGCGGGCGGGACATTCAACCGGGATGCCTGAGTATGGCGAGAGCGCGATTCCTGAGTAAATTGTGACGGCGTCCTTGGCGCAGCGTGTTCCCTGAGCGTCGAAAGCGCGATTTCTGAACGAATCGCATGGAAGTCACAGGCGAGGGCGCAGTTCCTGAATAAAATATGAACGGTTCTCTGGAGGGAGCGGGGGTCTTAAATTGCGAGGGAGTCTTGCTTCAATTGCGAGGAACTCTCAAGCGGGAGCGTCGTTCCTGAGTAAATTGTGAGGAAGTCTCAGATGGGAGCGGTGGTCCTGACTAAATTGTGAGGAAGTCAAAGGCGGGAGCACCGATCCTGAGTAAATTGTCAGGAAGTCTGAGACGGGAGGGGGGGTCCTGAATAAATTCGGAGGAAATCTCAAGCGGGAGCCGCTGTTGTTGTAATCCGGGGGCCAGGGGCTTTGTTTGAGCATCAAGACTTTCCCTGTCAAAAAACAAGGTGCGAGCGTCGAGGGCCACACTTTGATTGAGAAAACAATATGCGCTGGTGGGGGGATCAACAATAACTATTCTTCAGAAATGAATTGAACAACAGCAACTACACGGCTGAGTAAGGGCGTTTTCAAAAAGGGGCTCTCGCCTTGGCGAAGCGTCATTTTCTAAACTTGCTAGCGTTGCGCGGATCGGAAAATGGTTCGATTTCGAAACGGGGTTCTCGCCGTGGACACATTTGCGTTCTTATCCCGAACGAATGCGACGCGGCAACACACACGAATGGCGGCTCCTCTGTTTAATGAGGCTCTCGCTTGGGGGTCTCAGGAACACTATACCTACGCCGCTGCAGACGTTCGTGGCGTTCGATGAGGGCGTCAAGATGAATCTGACCTTTGCACCTGCGCGTCGGCGGGCGGGCGGGGGCGGACCACCGCCCCAGCCCCGCCTGACTT